TTCATCCACCTCTGGCCTGCTGGCTCCCCTACCTCTGCGGAAGCACAGTTCCCGCTCAGCCCAGTCAAAACTGTTCGCTGCTCTGGCACACTAATGGTCGAACAATCTCCCTCACGACGCCAGGACAGCGGAGTCACTCACCACCTTCCGGAGACATTTGAATCCCCACCTCTTTAAGGAATACCTGGGATAGGATAAAGTAATCCTTCTACCCCCCCAAAAAAAAGAAGAAAAAAAAAGAAAAACATTGTAAAGTGGGTATCCCACTGGCTATGAGGTGAATGCACCAATTTGTAAGTCGCTCTGGATAAGAGCGTCTGCTAAATGACGTAAATGTAAATGTAAATGTATATTTAAATAAAAATATACATATATAATTTTTTATATAATCCATGAATTATGTTTTTAAATACTCATAAAAGTGTGGTAAATGTGTACATTTTCCTGTTAAAAAAATACATTGTTAAAAACAAGCTGTTCAGTTGCTTACCACTCTGCCCCTCAGTGACTGCCAGCTCCACTTCTGTGGGCGCATAGGTCATGCGAACATTGCCTTGATTGTTTTGCAGCTATTTTCTATGAAATACTGGGTTTAAATGTATTTGGCTAAGGTGTATGTAAACTTCCGACTTCAACTGTACATATTACACATGTGATGAGGTGGTGTTGAAGGAGTCAGGCACAGGAGGGTAAATCACAGAATAACTGGCTTTAATCCGCAAAATACAGGATTACGCAAATATGCGTCAAACACACTCCAGGGCACAAAACAGACGCACTGGAAAATACAAGGTATACTGGAAAATACTCCCGTCGATACACAATACACGAGCTCCACCGAGCTTCACTAACCTCCACAATAAACAATCACCCACACAGACAAGGAAGCAGAGGGAACACTTATACCATGACTAATGAGGGAATAAGGACCAGGTGTGTGTGGTTGAAGACAAGACAAATGGAGTGATGATAAATGGATCGGCAGTAGCTAGTAAGCCGGTGATGCTGAACGCCGAAACCTGCCCGAACAAGAAGCACCGTTCCTTCGGACCGTACCCCTCCCACTCCACGAGGTACTGAAGGACCCCTACCCGACACCTTGAATCCAGGATGGAATGGACAGAGTACGCCAGGGCCCCCTCAATCCAATGCCTCCTAGAGCCAATGCCTCCACACGGTCAAGGCTCGGACAACAGCCAACAGCTCCCAATCACCAACGCTGTAAATCTGCTCCGCCGGGCTGAGCTTCTTCGAGAAGAACGCACAGGGGCGGAGCTTGGGTGGCGTACCCGAGCGTTGAGACAGGACAGCTCCAATCCCAACCTCGGACGCATCCACCTCCACTACGAACGGTAGTGATGAATCGGGGTGGGCCAGTACTGGGGCTGAGGTGAACAGACCCCGCAGTCTGCTGAAGGTCAGCCTCAGCAGACCAGCAGAGCTGGGATGACCCAGACTTCAACAGGGAGGAAATGGGAGCTGCGACCTTGCCAAAGCCCCGGATAAACCTCCGATAGTAGTTGGCAAAGCCAAGGAAGCGCTGCACCTCCTTAACCGTGGTTGGAGTCGGCCAATTACGCACTGAAATGCGATCTCCCTCCATCTCCACACCTGAGGTGGAAATGCGGTATCCAAGGAAGGAGACGGACTGCTGGAAAAACATACACTTCTCTGCCTTAGCATAAAGGTCATTTCCAACAGTCAGGCCAGCACCTTGCGAACCAGGGACACATGCTCAGCGCACGTGGCGGAATACACCAGGATGTCATCGATGTAGACCACTACACCGCGACCAAGCATGTCCCGAAACACCTCGTTCACAAAGGACTGGAAAACTGAGGGAGCATTCATCAAACCATAGGGTATCACCAGGTATTCATAATGCCCCGTGGTTGTGCTGAATACTGTCTTCCACTCATCTCCCTCTTGGATACGCACCAGGTTGTACGCACTCCTGAGATCTAATTTGGTGAAGAAGCGCACCCCATGCATTGATTAAATCACTGAAGGAATGAGGGAGAGAGGATAACTAAATCTTATTGTCTCCCTGTTCAGTGGTTGATAATCAATGCACGGATGCAGACCTTCGTCCTTCTTCTTCACAAAGAAGAAACTCGAGGAGGCGGGTGAAGTGGAGGGACGTATGTACCCCTGGCGCAGGGACTCGGTGACATATGTTTCCATAGCCACTGTTTCAGCCTGTGACAGGGGGTATATATGACTCCTGGGAGGTACAGCGTCTACCCGGAGGTTTATCGCGCAATCCTCCGCCCGATGAGGTGGTAATTTAGTCGCCTGCATTTTAGAGAACGCTTGCACCAGATCAAGGTATTCAGGGGGAATGCGCACGGTGGAGGTACTGTCTGGACTTTCCACCGTGGTTGCACCAACGGAAACACCTAGACACCTACCCTGACAGTCTCGCAACCATCCCGTGAGAACCCTCTGCGGCCATGAGAAGGTGGGTTTGTGGAGTGCTAGCCAAGGGATACCTAATACCACAGGGAAAGCAGGAGACTCAATAATGGAAAAAGTAACCTGCTCACAATGAGTCTCCTGGGTAATCATGGTGACTGGTGCAGTAACTTCCTTAACCAACCCAGACCCTAATGGTCAACTATCAAGTGCTCTGATGGGGCGTGGAATGGATAGGGGAATCAATGGAATGCCTATACGGTGTGCGAATGCCCTGTCCATAAAGTATCCAGCTGCGCCTGAATCGTCTAGTGCCTTACGCTGGGGAACTACCATGTGCTCAGGAAAGGAGACAAGTATTTTACAGCGCGCAGCAGAGGGCTCTGAACGAGTGTGGGTGTTTGATACCTGGGGTGATGCGAGAGTGCCCTGCCTGCCACCTCCAAACCCAGAAGAGCGGTGACGACAACGTGTGGTGAAATGTCCCTTCGCGCCACCAGTGTGGCACTGGTGCTGTCGTCCTCCGCTCTCTCGGTTAGCGGTTCCACCCATCTCCATCGGTTCTGGATCCGAGTCGGCCGGGATGGAAACAGGCAGACCTCCTGCAGGACGTCCTCTAGTTGCCAGCAGGTTGTCCAAACGAATGGCCATGTCCACCAGTTGCGAGAAGAACAACATGGTGTCACGGCAGGCTAGCTCCCGTTGGATGTCCTCTCGCAGATGGCACCGGAACTGGTCGATCAGGGCCCGCTCGTTCCACCCGGACCCAGCTGCCAGAGTTCGAAACTCAAATGTGAAGTCCTGCGCAGTCCTCGTCCCCTGCCTCAGGTGGACAAGCCGCTCGCCCGCCTCTCGACCCTCGGGCGGGTGATGGAAGACCGCCCGGAAGAGGCGAGTGAACTCTCTGTAGTTCTCCAACGCGGCTCCTCCTTCGTTCCACACCGCGTTGGCCCACTCCAGGGCTTTCTCCGAGAGGCAGGAGACGAGGGCGGACACCTTCTCCCGCTCCGATGGAACCGGACGGATGTTGGAGAAGTAGAGCTCCAGTTGGAGAAGGAATCCTTGGCACAGTGCCGCTATCCCGTCGAACTCCCCTGGTCGGGATATCTGGATCCCTCCGGGTGCTGGGGTGTAGGTGGCGGGATCGGGTTGATCAGCTGGTCTCGACGGATCGGGCTCTCTCCTCTCCAGGCATTGGACAACCTGAAGAACCCGACCCATCGCTTCACCCAAGCTGGTTAGCATAGTTGAATGCTCCTGGACCCGTTCCACGACTCCAGGCATGTGCGTCTCTCCCGCTGACTCCATAGCGGGTGGGTGATTCTGTGATGAGGTGGTGTTGAAGGAGTCAAGCGCAGGAGGGTAAATCACAGAATAACAGGCTTTAATCCGCAAAATACAGGATTACGCAGAAATGCGTCAAACACACTCCAGGGCACAAGACAGGCGCACTGGAAAATACAAGGTAAAACTGGAAAATACTCCCGTCGATACACAATACACGAGCTCCACCGAGCTTCACTAACCTCCACAATAAACAATCACCCACACAGACAAGGAAGCAGAGGGAACACTTATACCATGACCAATGAGGGAATAAGGACCGGGTGTGTATGATTGAAGACAAGACAAATGGAGTGATGATAAATGGATCGGCAGTAGCTAGTAAGCCAGTGATGCCGAACGCCAAAACCTTCCCGAACAAGGAGGGGAGGCAGCCTCGGCGGAAGTCGTGACAACACATGACACTACCTAATACAATATATAATACAATATATAATACAATACATAATACAATATATAATACACTATATAATACAATAGACAGTTCGGTACTTTCAACACCTCAACTTTCAGCCAGGAGAGATTGACATGCATGTCAAGACATTTGCCCTCTGTGTACATCTAAGTGCAATATGTGCTGCTCTGTTCTGGACCAATTGCAATTTCCCTATGTTCTTCTTTGGCGCACATGACAACACAAATGGGCAGTAGTCCAGGAGCGACAAAACTAGGGCCCGTAGGACCTGTCTGGTTGATTGAGATGTCACGAAAGCAGAGCAACGCTTTATCTTGGACAGACTTCTTCCCATTTTAGCAACCATTGAGTCTACTGTATATGTTTTGATCATGACCGCTTGCTATCTAGTGTTATACCCAGCAGTTTAGTCTCCTCAACTGGCTCAATCACCACAGTAATCAATAATATATATAGATGAGGTTTAGGGTTGAGTGAGTGATTTGTCCCAAAAACAATGCTTTAGTTTTTTTTTATATATATATTTAGCAGCAACCTATTGCTAGTTACATTTTAGTCATTTAGCAGACGCTCTTATCCAGAGCAACTTACAGTTAGTGAGTGCATACATTTTCATACTGGCCCCCCGTGGGAAACGAACCCACAACCCTGGCGTTGCAAGCGCCATGCTCTACCAACTGAGCTACATGTTAAGGGTGTCAGTTATTTATTTTACTGTCGTAGCCGACGTGTATACTGTTGAGTCATCAGTGTACATAGACTGCCTGAACACTGGGGAAAGGAGACATATATCACAATCTGACTGGCTGATTCTGATTTAGCTTCAGGGTAGGAAGGTTGTAGGAAGTCTCACTGCAGAAAGGGAGGAACCATATGATGAATCCCTCCATAGCATCGAGTGCTTACCTCTTGCATTCAGGCCCATGTCCATGATCCCGTGTTTGACTTTCATGTGGCGGGTGAGGTTCCCCTTCAGCGTGAACTTGCTGGGGCAGTAGAGGCACTTGAAGGGCCTGCTGTCAGAGTGCAGGTGCATATGGCCCATCAGGTTATGCATTCTGTTGAACTCCTTCCCACACAGCTGAAAACAAGGAAGAACAAAAAGAAAATAGTCAGATATGTGCTCGCGGACCAACCAATAAGGTGCATGAATTAAAGAACAAACAGAAAGTGGAACAGATTTATTTTTGGCATTAAAAGACTTCATCAAGCTCCAAGGAAAAGCATTTCATGTGCTCGGAAGCAACAGACAATCAGCTTATAAACCCAAACCAGCATTTTGGCAAATAATTATTGTAATTTTTCCTCAAACAAATGCATTGAATACCAACTATTGAAATAGTTTGTGTACACATTCCTTGATTACAATTTGGAAATTCCATTATTCCTCGAACCACATCTGTACCCCTTCATGGTATAGTAAACACCATTCAAGGGCAGAAAAACCACGGCAAGTCTAAAACTGTGTCCATTGATCAAACTTTCCTCTCTATCAAACAACTGATGTGTAAGATGACGAATCCTCACAGCATTCAGAGCTGTAATAGGAGCTGGACGTAATCATGAATGAATGTGCGCACACACCCACAGACACACACACATGCACGCATGCACACACACACACACACACACACACAATACCACACACACACACACACAGAGAAAGAATCAGCGAGACAGGGTCAGAAGAGGAGGGATGGGAAGGGCAACTCCTGCGCTGTCCTTCCTCTGTATTCTTTTTGATTAGGGTTTCCTTCAGGAGGAGAGAGGGACTGTAAACTGTCCAAGAGGACCGTGAGAAAACAGGAAGCGTTCCCTCCAGCAGCAGAGAAAGCGAGATGAAATCTATTTGCAGGGCCTGTTCTCCGGGGAGGCTGGGGGCCATTGTTAGAGAGGCAGTTTGTGCAGCGATATCCTTCCTATGGACGAGGAGGGATCTCACTGCCAAATCTTCTCTCTGTCTACAATCTCCTCATCGTCTCAACTCTCCTACTAGAGAACAAGGTCACACAGACACTCAGAAACAGTGTTGAGCTGCTTCAGAGTGTCTATTGGCTTCTCTAATTTAAATGTGGTCCCACTTAACATTACAGAGACTTTCTATTATAGTAATAACACTATTTTTTGTTGACCCCTTTTTTTGTGATATCCAATTGGTAGTTACAGTCTTGTCCCATCGCTGCCACTCCCATGCGGACTCGGCAGAGGCGAAGGTTGAGAGCCACGCGTCCTCTGAAACACGACCCCGTCAAGCTGCACTGCTTCTTGACACACTTAACCCGGAAGCCAGCCACACCAACGTGTCAAAGGAAACACCGTACGGCTGGCGACCAAAGCCAGCGTCCATGCGCCACAAGGTGTTGCTAGAGCACGATGGGACAAGGACATCCCGGCCAGTCACACCCTCCCCTAACCCGGACAACGCTGGGCCAATTGTGCGCCATCTCATGAGTCTCCCAGTCGCGGCCGGCTGCGACACAGCCTGGGATCGAACCCGGATCTGTAGTGACGCCTCTAGCACTGATCAGTGCCTTAGACCACTGCGCCACTCGGGAGGCCCATAACACTACTTTTCCCTAACACAACCCTCGGTGTTCAAGTAACCAAGCAGAGTTAAATTAGTGCACAAAAAGATGGACAAAGACATGCAAGGCAGATAGTGGGACTATTGACATGCATTTATCTTCAGATACCCTGGCTTTAAAAGGAGTTGTTGCATGTTGTCATAAATGAAACTGTCTCTAGCGCTCTCCTCAATATATTGCATATATCAGAACACTCACCTTGCATTTATAGGGTTTGATGTCAGAGTGGACGATCATGTGGGCCTTGAGGGTCTGTTTCTGAACAAAGCTCTTGAAGCAGAGGTGGCACTGGTAGGCCCGGATGTTAGTATGGATCAGGACGTGGCGCTTCATGTTGGCCAAGAGGGTGAACTCCCGACCACAGATACTACACTTGTGCTCCTTCACCCCCTGAGAGAGAGAGAGAGAGAGAGAGAAAGAGAGAGAGAGAGAGAGAGAGAGAGAGAGAGAGAGAGAGAGAGAGAGAGAGAGAGAGAGAGAGAGAGAGAGAGAGAGAGAGAGAGAGAGAGAGAGAGAGGTTTGTTTAAATAACCATCATAGTGGAAAATTGTCTTACATCTTGACAAGGCCGTCAGGGACAAGAAAGACATCATAGCAAGATGTTAGCATGACAACAAGAGAGCGGGTGCCTTGTATCATCTGAACAAGGCAGAATAATAGGATTCTCACAATATTCCGTGACTGAACCTGTAGCTACTGTTATTGTAGCATGCACTCACATCTCTCTCTAAAGTCTCATTTGTCTGTTTGCTGGGCTCAAGGTTTTTGAGGAGAGCTGCTCTTTGTCCTGGCTTCACCATGTAGTACTAAAAGACAGTTTGAAGCAGAAACAATTATGTGAAATGTGTAGTGTGAAAGTCATCATACTGTCATGTATGTCCTATGCAGGACTGCCCAACCCTGTTCCTGGAGAGCTACCGTCTTGTAGGTTTTTGCTCCAACCCTAATCTAGCACACCTGATTCTAATAATTAGCAGGTTGATAAGATGAATCAGGTTAGTAACACCTGGGGTTGGAGCGAAAACCTACAGGAGGGTAGCTCTCCAGGAACAGGGTTGGGCAACCCTGTCCTATAGCAAAACCATTTCATGTCAACAAATGTAAAGGCCCCTGATGTAGGTTAAGTGTCATGACACTAGCCAGCTGATACTGTCAACAGGTAAAGCCTGCCTTAACACCCACTGATTCACAGGTAGACACTTCATCTCCACAACACAACACAACCTAACCCTGCAAAGACATGTCCCTCCAAACACACATGTTGACATTAGTGGACAGTAGGATGTGGACAGTATGAAGACCCCACCCAGTCATACCTTATGTGTAAGTGTGTGCTGTTTGAGGTGATGGGACTGTATAAACTCCATGCCACATTCGCTGCAGATGTATGGCCGGATGTCTTTGTGCTTCATCATGTGGTTCTGTAGCTGGCTGGGGTACTGGAAGCTCTTCTGGCACTCACTACACCTGGACAGAAAACAGACACTTGCTACACCTGGACAGAAAACTATAGAAATAGAATGAGAATTAGAATTGAGAATGAAATAGAAATGTAATTCTATACAGAAAACCCACACTCTGTTTCCTGATAACCCGCTTGTTTTTTTTTTACTGCCAAACCCACAAATCTTCCAGTGGAGTACATGTAAAATATCTACAAGCAGAAATAGGGGTAACAGACATATGAGGTAATGTGCAGCCTAGATGGTGTTTCTGGGCATTTGTAACGTAGGCTACCTGTAAAGGGTGGGTCCTCTGTGGGCTGTCAGGTGTCTCTTGAGCTGGGCCAGAGTGGGGAAGTCCAAACCGCACTCCACACACACATTCTCCTGGCCTTTCTCATGCTTCAGCTCATGGGCCCGCAGCTCACTAGGGTAGGCAAAACCCCTCCCACACACCCCACAACTGGAGAGGAGAGGAGAGGAGAGGAGAGGAGAGGAGAGGAGAGGAGAGGAGAGGAGAGGAGAGGAGAGGAGAGGAGAGGAGAGGAGAGGAGAGGAGAGGAGAGGAGAGGAGAGGAGAGGAGAGGAGAGGAGAGGAGAGGAGAGGCAAATAGATTGTTTTTATCCCAATGGATAATTTGTTTAAGAGAAAGTAGACTAACTTGCATGCATCAAGAGTAATTATAAGTCATAGGAGAGAGTGGGTTAAGTTGAGCCACCCTTGTTACTTGGAAACAATACACAAAATTAATTATTTGACCAAATATTTAGGAAGAGGTCATAATTTCATGGAGTCTGTGAAGGAAGAAAAAACACATGGAAAAAGTGTTAAGCAAGTTAGTTAAAAAAAACACGGATTTATTGTGTTTGTATCTAAACCAAAGTAGATCATTTAAAGATTGTTCTATACATCAGTTGGGGTCTCTACAATGTTAGAAAAAGGGTTCCAAAACGGTTCTTCTGCTGTCCCCATAGGAGAACCCTTTTTGGTTCAAGGTAGAACTACACTCAGTGGCCAGTTTATTAGGTACACCCATCTAGCACCTGGTCGGACCCCCCTTTGCCTCCAGAACAGCCTGAATCCTTTGGGGCATGGAAACGTTGCTCAATTGTTATCAAAGGACCTAACGTGTGCCAGGAAAACATTCCCCACACCATTCCGTTGACACCAGGCAGGATGGGTCCATAGACTCATGCTGCTTAAGCCAAATCCTGACTCTCCCATCAGCAAGATGCAACAGGAACTGGGATTCGTCAGACCAGGCAATGTTTTCCACTCCACAATTGTCCAGTGTTGGTGATCGCGTGCCCACTGGAGCCGCTTCTTCTTGTTTTTAGCTGATAGGAGTAGAACCCGGTGTGGTCGTCTGCTGCAATAGCCCATACGTGACAAGGGACGACGAATTGTGCATTCCGAGATGTCGATTTGTACACCAATGTTGTACTGAGCCGTTACTTGCCTATTTGTGGGCCGCCAGTTAGCTTGCACGATTCTTGCCATTTTTTAACATTTATTTAACCTTTATTTAACTAGGTAAGTCAGTTAAGAACAAATTCTTATTTACAATGATGGCTTACCCCGGCCAAACCCAGACGACGCTGGGCCAATTGTGCGCCGCCCTATGGGACTCACAAGCACAGCCGGATTGTGATACAGCTTGGAATCAGAGACACCTCTAGCACTGAGATGCACTGAGATGCAGTGCCTTAGACCGCTTTGCCCATTCTCGTTCGACCTCTCATCGACGAGCTGTTTTCGCCCACAGGTCTGCCACTGACTGTTTGTCGCAACATTCTCGGTAATCCCTAGAGACTGTCGTGCTTGAAAAGCTTAGGAGGGCCGCCGTTTCTGAGATACTGGATCCATCACGCCTGGCACTGACGATCATACCACGCTCAAAGTCACTTAGATCACTCATTTTGCCCATTCTAACGTTCAATCGAACAGTAAATGAATGCCTCGATGCCTGTCTGCCTGCTTTATATAGCAAGCCATGGCCACGTGACTCACTGCCTGTAGGAGTGAGCCATTGTCGTGAACTGGGTGATATACCTAATAAACTGAGTGTATGTAGATACCTTTGTTAGAAAGAATACTATATTTCCCTTGACGGAGTGATGCTAAATGTAAAACTTACCTCGCTCTCTCATACTGATGACTATTCATTGACAGGTCTATCTTTGGTCTACGTTTATTCTATCCTTGGTCTATGTTTGAGTCACAGACTAGGCATGTAATGTAAGGTCCTTGTTGATGAACACATTTTCTTAGTTCTCGGCTAGACTAAGTAAAGAGTAACTCTAGACTAGTAACTCTAGACAAGTGATTCCAGTATCTCTAGACTAGTAACTCTAGTAACTCTAGACTAGTAACTCTAGACTAGTAACTCCAGTAACTCTAGTGTAGTAACTCCAGTAACTCTAGACTAGTAACTCCAGTAACTCTAGACTAATAACTCTAGACTAGTGACCCCAGTAACCCTAGACTAGTAACTCCAGTAACTCTAGACTAGTAACTCTAGTAACTCTCGACTAGTAACTCCAGTAACTCTAGACTAGTAACTCCAGTAACTCTAGACTAGTAACTCTAGACTAGTAACTCTAGACTAGTGACTCCAGTAACTCTAGTCTAGTAACTCCAGTAACTCTAGACTAGTAACTCCAGTAACTCTAGACTAGTAACTCTAGACTAGTAGCTCCAGTAACTCTAGACTAGTAACTCCAGTAACTCTAGACTAGTAACTCTAGACTAGTAACTCCAGTAAATATAGTCTAGTGACTCCAGTAATTCTAGACTAGTGACTCTAGACTAGTGACTCCAGTAACTCTAGACTAGTAACTCTAGTAACTCTAGACTAGTAACTCTAGACTAGTAACTCCAGTAACTCTAGACTAGTAACTCTAGACTAGTAACTCCAGTAACTCTAGTGTAGTAACTCCAGTAACTCTAGACTAGTAACTCCAGTAACTCTAGACTAATAACTCTAGACTAGTGACCCCAGTAACTCTAGACTAGTAACTCCAGTAACTCTAGACTAGTAACTCTAGTAACTCTCGACTAGTAACTCCAGTAACTCTAGACTAGTAACTCTAGACTAGTAACTCCAGTAACTCTAGTGTAGTAACTCCAGTAACTCTAGGTTAGTAACTCCAGTAACTCTAGACTAATAACTCTAGACTAGTGATTCCAGTATCTCTAGACTAGTAACTCTAGTAACTCTAGACTAGTAACTCTAGACTAGTAACTCCAGTAACTCTAGTGTAGTAACTCCAGTAACTCTAGACTAGTAACTCCAGTAACTCTAGACTAATAACTCTAGACTAGTGACCCCAGTAACTCTATACTAGTAACTCCAGTAACTCTAGACTAGTAACTCTAGTAACTCTCGACTAGTAACTCCAGTAACTCTAGACTAGTAACTCCAGTAACTCTAGACTAGTAACTCTAGACTAGTAACTCTAGACTAGTGACTCCAGTAACTCTAGTCTAGTAACTCCAGTAACTCTAGACTAGTAACTCCAGTAACTCTAGACTAGTAACTCTAGACTAGTAACTCCAGTAACTCTAGACTAGTAACTCCAGTAACTCTAGACTAGTAACTCTAGACTAGTAACTCCAGTAAATATAGTCTAGTGACTCCAGTAATTCTAGACTAGTGACTCTAGATAGGACTCCAGTAACTCTAGACTAGTAACTCTAGAACTCTGACTAGTAAATTTTAGACTAGTAACTCCAGTAACTCTAGACTAGTAACTCCAGTAACTCTAGACTAGTAACTCCAGACTAGTGACTCCAGTAACTCTAGACTAGTAACTCCAGTAACTCTAGACTAGTAACTCCAGTAACTCTAGACTAGTAACTCTAGACTAGTAACTCCAGTAACTCTATCTAGTAACTCCAGTAACTCTAAACTAGTAACTCCGACTAGTGAATTTCCCGTAACTAGACTAGTAACTCCAGTAAGTCTAGACTAGTAACTCCAGTAACTCTAGACTAGTAACTCCAGTAACTCTAGACTAGTAACTCTAGACTAGTGACTCCAGTAACTCTAGACTAGTAACTCCAGTAACTCTAGACTAGTAACTCTAGACTAGTAACTCCAGTAACTCTAGACTAGTAACTCCAGTAACTCTAGACTAGTGACTCCAGTAACCCCTAACTAGTAACTCTAGTAAATCTAGACTAGCAACTCGACAGTGACCCCCAGTAACTCTAGACTAGTGACTCCAGAACTCTAGACTAGTAACTCCAGTAACTCTAGACTTTGTAAACCCAGAACTAGTAATCAAGTTTAAAAATCTAGACTAGTAACTCTAGACAAGTGATCCAGTACTCTAGACTATAATCTAGTAACTCTAGTTAGTAACTCCAGTAACTCAGACTAGTAACTCCAGTAACTCTAGCTAGTAACTCTAGACTAGTAACTCAAATAACTCTAGACTAGTAACTCCAGACAAATGATTCAGTATCTCTTTAAATAGAACTTAGTAACTCTAGTATAGTATCCAGTAACTCTAGACTAGTAACTCCAGTAACTCTAGACTAGTAACTCTAGACTAGTGACTCCAGTAACTCTAGACTAGTAACTCCATAACTCTAGATAGTAACTCCAGTAACTCCAGACTAGTAACTCCAGTAATCTAGACTAGTAACTTAGACTAGTGACTCCAGTAACTCTAACTAGTTTAAATCCAGTAACTCTATATAGTAACTCCGTAACTCTAGACTAGTAACTCCAGTAACTCTAGACTAGTAAATCCAGTAACTATAGTCTAGTGACTCCATTTAAATTAGACTAGTAACTCTAGACTAGTGACCCGTAACTCTAGACTAGTAACTCTAGTAACTCTAAACTAGTAACTCTAGACTAGTAACTCCAGTAACTCTAGACTTGTAACTCCAGTAACTCTAGACTAGTAACACTAGACTAGTAACTCCAGTAACTCTAGACTAGTAACTCCAGTAACTCTAGACTAGTAACTCTAGACAAGTGACTCCAGTAACTCTAGACTAGTAACTCTAGTAACTCTAGACTAGTAACTCTAGCCTAGTAACTCCAGTAACTCTAGTCTAGTAACTCCAGTAACTCTAGACTAGTAACTCTAGACTAGTGACTCCAGTAACTCTAGACTAGTAACTCCAGTAACTCTAGACTAGTAACTCCAGTAACTCTAGACTAGTAACTCTAGACTAGTGACTCCAGTAACTCTAGACTAGTAACTCCAGTAAATATAGTCTAGTAACTCCAGTAACTCTAGACTAGTAACTCTAGACAAGTGACTCCAGTAACTCTAGACTAGTAACTCTAGTAACTCTAGACTAGTAACTCTAGACTAGTAACTCCAGTAACTCCAGTCTAGTAACTCCATTAACTCTAGACTAGTAACTCTAGACTAGTAACTCCAGTAACTCTAGACTAGTAACTCCAGTAACTCTAGACTAGTAACTCCAGTAAATCTAG